TAGACAGAAGGATGTGGGAATGAAAAGTGACAGGAATGGAGGGATAAGAGAAGGATGAGGAGAGGATGAAGTTATCAGCGGAAGAGGGAAAGGTAAGGGAAGGGTGGAGGAAAGGATACGAGAAGGAGTGAAAGGAGTGAAGGATGGCAGGGGAGGGATACGGAGAGAGGTAAAAATTGTGAGGTGGAAGGAAAAGATCAAGGGAAGGAGAAAGGAGTGGATGAATAGAAGGATGAGGCGATTGAATCAAAATTGAAGGAGAGAATAATTAACAGATGTACAGAAAGAAAGAAAATTATATTGAGAAACAAAGCAAAGCTCAATCTATCCACGGACTCTCTCTGGAGCAACAATTTGCCTCTCTTCCTGTTTTTATGCGCATTGCAGCCCAGTCTGATCCTGGGGCATCAAATACCGACGCTTTGAGAAAGCCTGACAAAACATCGGTATATGACGCACAAGGACCCCTTCAGCGTCCGTATGAGACGCCCTTCGCTTTCAACTCAACAATGTAACGCATCTGTCGTCACGCATTGTAGGGGAGAGTGGGGTAAGCTGTCACGTGTGTAAGTTGTCACACTGACAAAAGTCCAACACCAGAGGCTCTATCTCAAATATCAAATATCACTTTGTGTGACTTCTTGTTCTATCTTCAAATTCCTGTTCACATGTGGTCAAGGTCACTCTAATCTGAGGTGGGCACAATATTGTTAGTTTTTTTGCTTCCAAAGTAAAATATTTCCACTTTACATTTTATGCAATACAACTTTGTTAGGTATGAATTTTTACTTGCACAAAGTAGAGGAGACAATAACGTGTCTTTTCATACTTCAGCTGAAGAGCTATGTTGAACTAACCTTGAGATTTAGCCAACAATAGCACACATGTCAGTTTTGGGGCAAGTTGTCTCAATGACTTACAGTACAAATAAACACAAATAACATGCTCAAAAAACATTGTGAAATTGTGTAATTACCTCTGACAGCAGTATTAAATACTATAAATAGAATATTATACACTTTAATTTACAACAGCAGCCATGTCTGTGGACTACACAAGACTGTTCCTGACACTGTATAAAGAAGTGTGTGTGTGTGCGTGAGGGTTTATAAAGTCTCAAACTGTAGGCATGCAGTGTGTTAGTAAACACAATGGGAGTACACCACCTGACAAAATGTTAAAGGAAGTCAGGCAGGTGAAGTTGAAGAGCAAATCAAGTACAGCGAAGGATTTTTACATAAATTACCATACTCTGACTCTGTGTTCTAATTTGGAAAAGCAGCTTGTTGATTATATTACACATATAAACATTATTTAATTTCATATCATGCACAAATGTCAATGTATATATATTTATGTGCACAATACTCTCTTCCGTTGCAACACGTCTGCACAACACAAATCCAAAATAATGCACATTTATATATCTGCAACGTTTTTCTTTCTCTGCAAATAGTTGTATTATTTTTCTCTATTCTATTTAATATTCTTATATAACTTGCATTGTTTATTCCATATTTATATATTTCTACATTTATTTATGTCAACTTTATGTTTGTCTACGTGTAGCACCTTATCATCAAAGCAAATTCCTCATATGTGTCAAACACTCCTTGGCTATAAAGCTCCTTCTGATTCTGATTTTGATTACTAGGCCAGCTGAAATCTCTTTTGGCTTCATCTGTGTGGAGCCATTTTTCAAACAGTATTCCAAAGGAGATGTGGTTTAAGTGTGTGAAATGCAACAAATGGGCCCACGATGCTTGCACCTCAGGCCAAGCGAGTTAACGTGTGCCAGAACTGTGACTCTGAATACACTTCTGATTAGTCAGATACAGATGTGCCGCGTACAAAATGCACATTAGTTGCATTAGTGTGTTTAAACACCACATCTGTTTTGTTAAGATGGTATATATTTAAGCAAGTTATCTACAGCTTTCCATTTAATTACCATAGATCTATTGGCACTCTAAAGAATGTTTGATTTGTGCCACTTAATGTGTGCGCTACCAGCATTTTTGTTTTGATCGAAATTATTTATTTTCCAAATTCTCCAGGCTTGATTTTGTTTTTTTATTTTTAGTTCTGGTTTTAATTTGAAATTTAGATCAACATTCACATTTAAGTGTTCTAATTGTTTGACAATCCAGTGTGACAAGTTAGCTGCTGATGGGGCAAATTGTCACAAGTGCGACCTCTCTATTCAACAGTCTACAGCTCCATAATGAGATAAGATATGAAGATGTAATGAATACGAAATATGTGCCCAAGAATTCCTTCTTTCATTTGGTATGACATTTGTACCATTGTGATGTACGGTGCCCAGTAAATATTTGACAGTGTGAAAAGTGTGACAACGTATCCCGCTCTCCCCTACTTATTTCCACCTTTTCCTAATCCTAAAGGCGTTTCATACAGAGGCTGACGGGTACCTTGTGTGTCAAATACACACTCTTTGTCAGGCTTTCTCAAAGTATTGGTATCTGATGCCCTGAGATGAGAACATGATGCACATTTTAATTTTACGCATAAGAAAAAAGTGCAGCGGAAACAAACTTGGCAAATGACTCATGATGTACATTTAGCTTGTAACTTAAATGTCAATCAAGCTTCCAGTGAGGACACAAAAACCTCCGCTTACAGAAACCGGTCATATTTCCATTGTTTCATCTTCTCTTCTGCCGACTTATTGAATATTCGGTTAAAACTTGCGCCAAATTTGGATGGAATCCTGGGAGCTTATGAGGAGTCACATGTGGAAAACAATATATTAAGAAAGACACCTCCCTGTTAGCTCCGTGTGCATAATTAACTATTTACATGTAACGATCTGGTCTGAGTCCTGGATATTAATAAGGTGGTGGCTAGTTTTGGACATACACTAGCAAGAAAGAATGGTATATGGCATGTAAGTCTTTGAATATCTTAAAACGTAGCTCTGTATAATTTTCTTTGACATAGATGTAAAAATATTAGTTTATGTTGTTACCAATTTTGATTTGGAAAAAACAGTTTCCTGGCAAAATCTGTGCAGCGCAAAGCAACAAGTACTCCAAATTAAATAAAATATGTTGCCCTCTAGAGCGGCACACACAAGCATTTTCTGATTTGATACCTGTATCGACAGAACATTGTTTGCTTGTGACTGCCAAAACCATTAGAAACCAATGAAAATAGATCTATTTTATAATTTGATACCAAGTCAAATCATGTCCATTTTATTCTTATAGCTCAATATCACATGCATCAAGGAGCTTTACAATCCGTACAGCATACAACACCCTCTGTCTTTAGACGATATGAATGCAATGAAGTTACGACATGTAACTCTCTCGATGGACAAAATTAGCTTTTAAATTGACAAACATCATATGTGTAATTCAGGGCAAACAGGATCAAAAAACAAGTTGTCTCTCGCCATTGACTACCGTACATATTTTTTTTTTAAAATAAGGTCCCATGGCCGGAAGCGGAAGCGAGTAACTTAGGCTCTCTATGCAGATCTGGAAGAGGACAGACAGCACAAACACAAAGAGGCAAAACCCAAACACTTCATTCACAGACAGTAAGGATAAAAGAAACGAACAGAACAGCTACACACAGATTTGGGTTAAAACGACTACTTCATTAAGGTTAGGGGACCTTCACCTCCATTATTACAATAATTACCATGTTGCTAGGGTTTTGGAAAGAGCATGTCATGTTTACAAGGAACCAGCATTGACTGTTGGTAGGAAACAGGAAATAAATAGCCGCCTACCGTGTTTAAATCTGGAGGGGTTTTTTGACCCGTCCATCCCTCTCATCCTCCTTCTTCTGCAGACATTGTGGCTCTATGACAACGACACCTGACTTCCTCCTTTGACTCTGACAAACAAGAGTCATAGCCTAATTGCTACGGCTGCTAGAGGGCTTTGTCTCTCGACCATAAAAGAAATGTTGTTTTAGGGCACTGCAGTATGTGAAACGACTGAAGCTGGCGCCTCTCTTTGTGAGGACGGTCTCTGCAGACCTGTGCTCCATGCTGCTCTGTTATACAGCAGAACCTGAATTCTGGTCCCACTGGGGTTCTTGATCTGTGAGCAGTGTGACCACCTGACAGCTGCCACATACTTATTATAGAGAGCAATTTTTCAGACTTTCAGACACTCTGGGATTTTGTGGAATTATCATGTTGCTTTTGTTGTAACATGAATATAATAAATTGTTAGTACGGAAAATGGATTTTGGTCCAGATGTTGTGCAGCTCTTTTTGAGGAGGTAAGTAATCTAGTCCATTGGAGGTTTCTTCCTAATGAATTAGAGAGCTATAAAGACAAAGCAAGTGTAGTAGGAGGAGGAGGGATACCAAAGGGACTTTTCATAATCTGATGTCTTATTAATAATCTGATAAAATTTAGATCAATTAATACTAATACTAGGCCACTGCTACCAGTACCAATAATGTTACAGTCATTAGAGTCGAACTGCTTTGCTCTGAACAAAGGAAATTACACAGTGATGCATTTCAACACCTATAGAGACTTTTGTGTGTGTGTGTGATCTGGTCTGCGCTGTGGAAAATCAAAACAACACCCAGAGACTGACTGCAGGGCTGCCATACACACACACACACACACACACACACACACACACACACACACACACACACACACACACACACACACACTCTACATGCTTTGAATTAATTTAGAAAGAATGAGGAGGGGGTGGGGGTGAGTGGTAGAGAGAGAGCATTGGCATCCTTGGAGAGCTTGCATGCGCGCGTCCCCCGCTGGCTCACCATCGCGCGCGTAGCCGGATTTGCGTGCGCGTCACCGAAAAATAAAGAAGAAGAGGAGGAAGGAAGGAGAGGGAGAGAGGTAAACCCGCCGTCTTCTTCCTCTACCACTGCTGCAGTGTCTGATTCTCTCTCCACCATCTTCATCATCACCGCCATCATCATCCTCTTCTCCCTCCTGTCTGTGTGTCTGGGCCCCCCCCCCTTCTCCTCCCTCCCCCTCCCTCCTCCTCCTCCTCCATCCAGTGAAGGCACGGCCAGATATCACGGCGACAAAAGAGAGATAGAGAACGAGGTGTAGAGAGACCTTCACAGGCACTGAGAGTGAGAGAGAGAGCGAGAGAGAGAGAGAGAGAGAGAGAGAGAAGGAGGCTGCAGACTTTCCGACCAGAGAGGAAGAGGAGAGGAGGAAGAAGAGACAGAGGTAGAGGAGTCTCCATCTTCGCCATTTCAGTATGTTATCCTTTCTGTCTTCTCTGGTATTCTATAATAATAGGCTACTCTGAGGCTTCTGGCGCTCCGCGTGCGCCCTTCTATGGCCTCCGCAGCTCCGGTCACCTATATGATGTTCCTGTTGTGTGTCAGTCGTGCGTCTGTTGTTTCAGAGCTCAGATCCGTTGACTGTCTTCTATGATGATTTTCTATAATATTCTTGAGCTCTGACAGATGTCTGTGCCGCTCTGCACGCGCCCGGACAGGGACGTTGTCTGCTTTAGTGGCTCTGTGGTGTTCCTGTAACACTCCTACAGTGTGTCAGTCGTGCTTCCGTTGGTTAAAGGCTGAGTTTTGGTGACAGTCTCGTGATATTCCTATTATGTTTTCATATTTTTAATGAAGTTGCTTGTTTCTATGCTGGTATTTCATATACATTGCTTTGTTTTGAGTTGACAGTCTCATGTCTTAAATTTAGTTTAATATTCACAGCTTCCCGGTGGTTTCCCTGCTGTAGTGTGTGAGCTGTTGATCTGTAGTGACCTTATGTCACCTTTTCATTACGTTTATGCTCATGTTTTATTATCATAGTTATATAATATCTGTATTATTACTTTCAGGTGCTCAGTGCTCTATAATATCCTTTTATGTCCTTGTAATATTCCCGAAATGTTTCTACAGGGTGCTCTGAAGCCTGTATAGCTCGGTATAGTGGCTATAGGATAGACATTAATAGGATATGATAATCCAGGCTGGGACCACTGTGTATAATATTATGTATTCCTACTGGGTGTCAGAGATCGTCAGTGTTCCTATAATATTGCTATAATTCTTCCACCGTGAGCTGAAGTGTATCTGTGCTACCAGTTAGTGGGTCTGCAGTGACCTTAACGCACCTTTTGATTAAGTTTATCGCCTCTGTTTTCACTTGATAATGTAGCATATACACATAGCATCTATTTCATCATCTTAGTTTTTACCTGAGACTATAATATTAATGAGAAAATATTATTAATTTTCTTAAATCTTTCCATCAGACTTTTTTGACTCATAGTTAAATGCAAGTAAATTAACATAAGTTTATGTTGAAGAAACACTTGACTGAAGTAACAGAACTGAAATAAATAAATATTATAATCAATAATTTAAATAACTCTACTTCAGTTGGAGTAAATAGGACTATGGGAGAGGGAACTTACTGTAGCTGCCAGGTGCTGAAAGTAATGTACGTGAAGTAATAATACATACATACATTTTTGAATGAATGACTGAAAGTTTATTGTTGGATTATTTTAACTTGACGTAGCCTACAGAAGTTAATTGAGAAACACAGCTTGCTGAAGGGTGAGATCTTGCGTTGATACCCTTTGAATGAAAACATGCTTTATTTAAACATTTTTTGTTACTGATGTTTACATTAACTATAATCCATTTCCTGTGTTCTGTAACAATAGTTTGCATAATGTTTTGCATATCAAAGTGTCAATATTAGTACATGGAACAAGTATGGAAGTACATTTACATTACATTTATTCATTTGTGAGACACATTTGTATGAATGAGGTGCAATCAAAGCAACAGCAGAGCGACAAATAATAAATGTGACTTAGACCCAAATACATTATTCTATCAAACAAAAAAGTACAAAGGTGAAATTTCCCCCTAAAGCTGCACGAATTAATGCTCCTATAGTAACAGTGGCTCAGATTATGTGTGACGTTAAAGAGGTTGCTTGAAATGATGAACCCCCAGAGAAATGTGACCAACTCTGCAATTTCCCCTCAGCTCTACAGAACATTTTAGTGTCTTTCAGCTCATTGTCTTTTGTTTTGCAACCCTTAACTTTACTGTTATGATTTACTCACACAGCTCTCATAAGCGTTGTTTTCGGCCACAGTAAGCAGCTGATAAATCCGCTGCCTACGCTACCTGCCCAGCACCAAACGTCAGACATACAAAGTTACCTGGTGTTAACATAGCATAACATTTAGCTGAGACAGCCAAATATTTCTCTCAGGAGCTGGTGGAGACCAAACCGAAGCTAAAAGGAAAGTGAATATTAGACTTAGATTCATCAGGTGGACGCAAACACAACTCCAAATTATTGTTAATGCTCGTCAATGTTTGCCAAAATAACCTACTGTATGTCGGTGCTTCCCTTTTAACAATTATCTGTAAAAGTTTGTTCTCCGGAGAAAGATGGCTGCACATCCAATTTAAGCTTTACCAAATGATTTTTTGTCTTGTGGTATCCAGTTTGTCAGTTTGCTTGCTAGTTATTTTTCTAGTCAGTTGCTTGGGTATTTTGCTTAGTTCAGTCAGTTAGCCCGTGTTCAGGAAACAGCTTTCCTTAGAAGTGATGGATTCCAAAAATGGTACACCAGCATTATATCATTACAAGAATATTGGTTGAGGGACTTCTGCCCTTTGACCCGCTCTTCATTGGTTTTTGTTGTGTAAATACTGAGATCAGAACTCGGCTGAAAAGTAATGAAAGAAAAACTCCTGCACTCCTTTATTTAAACTCCTTTATCTCCTGTCTGCTCTCTGCAGAGACCGAGTCAGAGACGGACCTGAGCTGGTGATCATTCATCACTGCAGAACAAAATAAACCTTCCTCCTCTCTGCGACACCACCTGTGTGTGACAGAGCATATTAAACGCAGGGTCAGCTTACAGTTGACCGGTCATACCACACTGCTGGTCACAGATAAATTCTCCATCCACACCTGTAGGTCTTTTCACCTCACAGCTCAGTCACAGACCAGATGCAGTTCTCTGTGATAAACTTTTGCTGTTGTGTTTCAGCGTCACTGATTAAATGTTCAGTTTCTTTGCAACCTGGGTGTTGCCATGTTTCTGTAGCTGCACAGCTTGTAGTCATTCCTATTTGTTCTGGTATCTTTTCACACACTCACTTAATTAGCAAGATCTGTGGTTGCTACAACATCGTTGAATGCAGCTTTACAGCAAAGTCCAGGGAAACATTCCACCAAATCTGCAATATGCAAGCAGGGATTTGCAACACGAGATTGTTTCCTCTCGCTCAATTTGGCGCATTTCACAAATTAAAACAATGGGCACATACTTCTGCATGAGCATGAGACAAATTGTGAGTGACAGTCGTTTGTCGAACATGACACTGCCACCATTTGCAATCTGCGTGTTGCAAACACATTTTTCTGTCATTATGACCACAAATCCTGTTCCTTAACACTGCCTTTGAATCCTATCCTCACCCAAACAAAGTGCAGATACTCGGCTGCTTAAAGCTGGGGTAGGCAATTTATTTTACAAGCATTTTTGTGTGCTGTTTGTTGAAGTGCTCTTTACGTCCCGACAGCAATCAATAAATCAAATTCTCTGACACAAAAATGTGGCTGTTGCAGGACTGTTATAAGCCTACCTGTGCACACTCTGCCCGTGCACATAAACATGTGTGTTAGCTTTGAAAGGAGGCTTCAAGGAAGGGGGTGGGATTTTTTTTTCATTTGGACATTTCGTTCTGTCTGTTGCTATAGTTCTCCAAAACTGCCCAGCTTTATTCAGACCTCATATCTTCAGTATATCTGCTCAAGTTGAAGTACAGAGGCTGACCAACTGGCTCAATAGGCTGCTTCTTCTGAACGCCATGGCCTGCTCAGTATTCCAGTCGCCATCCATCCATGCTTATATATCTACACTAGTCCTACAAATAGCTACTAATTAGCAGACCTCATCTTCTCCATGCATGAGTCGTGTCCCTTGACCTGTCTTAACAAAGAGAAAAAATGGTTTGAATATTCTGCAGAGTCATCAGATGGGCCCCCCTCTCAATAACCATTACACTGCTCTTAGAAAGCAGGACAAATTGCACATTAAATAGTTCACTAAGCAAACATTAGCCACATTAATGTGAGGACATTCAATTCAGACTTGTGTTGCAAGGCCAGAACCTGCAACCTTTACGCTCACATTGTACAGAACAATAGACTGGCCATGATGTGGAGCTCGCACTAAATAGAAAGTTAATAAACTCGGCGTTACTTTGTGAAATTCTACTATGAACAGAAGTGAGCAGATGAAGAAAATATGTTGTCTGTTCTGCTGTGAAGTTCAGTTTTATGTCACAACCAGTGTCAAATTAGACATGCCAAATACTGCTCCATTAATATTAAAACAAGTTGACCAAAATCTCTGGCATGCAGGAAATCTATCCGATCTTTGGTGAGCCACATTGTTGATTCTTCGGGCATGATCCGGCATCGTGACCTCAAACTGCACATCAGATGACAACCGATCTGACAGAAATTCGGCCCGATTCTAAAATTTGTCTGGGGCGACCAGCTCAGGACTGAAATCTGCCAGTGTCTGCCCGGCATTAGAGAAATGTTACTAAGTCCAACCCTAGAGGAAAAGTAATTTATGAGACATTGGCATGAGACGAGGCGCATGTCTGAAAGGCGTTCAACAGACTGTGTTGCTCCATGATGGAGGTTCAGCTGGTTGCTGTCGAGTCTGTGATGAAACTGTCAAGTTGAACCGCTGAGACCTCATCTGAACTACCTGTCTGTCTGTCCGTCTGTCTGTCTGTGGTTTATTAAATCTGAGCTGCTGCCAAGACACCCATCAATCTGATTAACTCGTTCTGATCAATGGCAGTCAGCAGCGCTCACACACGCACACGCACAAACACACGTAGCAGAAGGCATCATCCATATTATATTCTGGAGCTCCGAGTGACTCATAGAGCAAAAACCACACACATACGCTCTGAGCAACACATTTACACACACACACATTTTTAATGATTCATCTTGGGTAGATCCTGTAGATCGTGAAGTGTGTGTGTAAAATCGTTCCTGTGAATGGCAGACTGACTGCTGGTTTCTGTGGAATCCAATTTAGAGCTGCGATTAATGCAAAAACTTTTTAAATTTGCTCCATCTGCTGTGACCTCTGACCTTTGATGTCCTCATAGTTTCCTCTGTAAGCTATCTCTTATCTCTGATCTGAGGGGTTGTCCATCATCGATGTGAGCGA